CAAGCGAGCTCAGGCTTATGCTTAGGCCGAGACTACGCTTAGGCTGGCCATGTGCAGTAGGCGTAGCCTCGGTCTATGCGAAAGCGTTGTTCATAGTGCGTGAGCGTATACGTGTGCTGTTGTACGCGACGTGCGTGCTTGTGTGCGACCCCCCAAAGTAGATAAGTGCCAGCGAAGTTAACGAACAATTAAGATTTGCAAATAAATAAAAATTGGTCACTTACTTAACAGCTCGCTCTTGCCCCGCCCCATTCCTCCCGTCTACTCTGCTTTCAACCGTCCAGTCACGCCCAACCATTTGGCTAACTGTCCGCACCCCTTTCTCGATCGCATCCCCTTCCCACCGGCGATCGTCTTGAATCGACACCCATTCATACCATAAACTACCATCTGACAGCATTCTGAGCAATAAATGCCTTTCTTTGCCACGCCTCCCACCGGATGACTCCGCCTCCAGCACTCCATCCTGTACGTGAATCGCTCGTGTAGGACCATCGCCAAACCACCTTCTACGTTCTCTAGAGCCCAATCTTATGCCGTATTTGGCTTGTTCATCCAGAAAATGTGCTATGTTAATTGGTTCGGTGAGACGGGAGGGTTGGCACAGGGCAGACCAGTGCCTCGGTGCGGTGTCATCGCAGGCTGACCTTTGCCCCGAACAATGCTCAAAGAAGGACACCTGCTGCACGTCAGGCAGTCCAACATTGTGCAATGCGTACAGTGGATACACGAAACCATCCACTGATGCACAACGGCCGCCATCATTGGCACTTTCATTGGCGTATGCAAACCGAGGGGCCGACACAACATAGTCTCCGCCCTCTAAAATGCTATGCGCCTGCTCCAAATAACGAATACCCGGCATGCGCTCGTCGACCAAACAGAATCTGAAACACACGGCCAGATGAAATAGCCAAGTCGGTCGTCGATAGCACTCGCTCTCAGTTAAACACTGTCAGAGGATAGAATGGCGAGCCTACCGGCTTGCTCACCATAAACCCACCTGATGCTCCGCCTTTGGCTTTTCGTCCCCACCGTCATTTTCAGATGTAAAATCAGCATGGCAGAGAGCATCAAAAACGCAAATCATATAAATAGGATGAAGAATAAACTAAAAATATATCAAATCAAATAAAGAGTCGAACAAGACCGACTTATTCGAGGTCACCGCCAGCAGCATTCTCCTTCGTTCACTTAAGCATGTAATGTGCTGAAGCGTTGGCCTTTGGAATGCATTTTCGTAAGTAAATTCTTGACCGCAGTCTTTGGTGTCATCATAATCGGGCACTTTGTACAGTATTGAGCCTTTAATACAATTACTCGTCAGTGATGTTCTCACCATCACTACCGCTCCCCCCTCACCCAACCAAAATCGGCACTTGTTTACTTTGGGGGACCCGCACGCGAGCACGCTCGCGTACAACAACACACATATACGCTCACTCACTATGAGCGACACTCTCACATAGACCGAGGCCACGCCCACTGCGCATGCCTCAGTCTAAGCCTAAGCCTGAGCTCGCTTGCTCCTGCTGTAACATCGAGCGGTCTGAGGCTATGCTCATGTGAGGCTGAGATTACACTTAGGCTGAGGCCATGAGCAGTAGGCGTGGCCTAAGTTGCTATACGCGAGCGTGCTCGCGTGCAGGTCCCCCAAAGTAAACAAGTGCCCCAAAATCATTATTATTATCACCATGTTTACGAACAGCAATGCTATCATCGTTATCAAAACAGTAAAAACACAAACCACGAGACTTTCCATCTCGTAGATCCACCACCCAAACATCCTCATCATTTGCAGCATAGATCAATCGTGGGTGATCAGATGGGCATATCAACTGCAATAACGCCACTATTGTAATGCCCAATACATGTAGACGCTCGTTAAACTCATTTATATTTGGTAAGTCTCACCGTCATAAAGACAAATGCTAATTTGATGATCATAACGAAAATGGGCACTGTTTACTTCGAGGGGAGGGGGAGGTCGTACGCGAGAACGCTCGCCACGCCTACTGCGCATGGCTTCAGCCTAAGCCTAAGCCTGAGCTCGCTTGCCAGCCCCTGTTGTAATATCGAGCGATTTGAGGCTACGCTTAGATGAGGCTGAGGTTACGCTTAGGCTGAGGCCATGCTCAGTAGGCGTGGCCTCATTTCTTATACGTGAGCGTGCTCGCGTGAGACCCCCCCCCCCCCCCCAAAGTAGATAAGTGTCCGAAAACGATTGCGTTGGGTCATAAGTTCCGTTAAAAAATTTAAAATTCAACCCAAACCAATATAACAACGCGAATCAAAAATTCTGAATGTTTCTCACTTCAGACTCACCTTTATATCTTCGGCACCACACTTCACACGTCCCAGTCTGTTGTTTGTGATACCGCCATTTGGCACATCCGCCCCACCCATTAATTCCACATCGCCGAACCATATTTTTGCACTGTGATCGATGAATAGCAATTCTTGGCTCATATAGGGCATGGGCGAGACGTAATCGACAGGCGCCGAGTACAGAGAATGTACACGCCCGCCGGCGATATCGTACAAACACAACGATTCCTCAGTGCGAATCAACAGTCGAGGGCGGAGTCTTGGCGTATTGGTAGTGCCGTGGGGATCGGTTGCGTCATCTGGCCATGATATCAATTGCAATGCGGGGGCGGGCAATTGAATCGCTCGAACAGGCTCTGCTCCGCAGATATCCGTTCTGACATTGCGACGACAGTCCCTGAGCCGTGTCGTTCGGCGCTCAACAGTGTCGGAAGAGTGCCTTGATTGCGTGCCACCCTCCTCTCGAGCATCCCAATCAAACTCCGTCTCTTCATCAGCATCAAATGGCGCCAGCTGCCCAAGGCTTTCCCCATCCTTTCCCAATCTCACACCCTCTAATCGCCAGTCGAACGCATAACCGCCGTGCACATCACCCTCTTGCCCGCCTCTATCTGCCCTACCCCTACTCAACTTCCCCGCTCTGCGACTCTCCTCCGTTCTCGACTGTCCAATGACCATCTCCGACATCTCATCCTCGAGATCCCCCTCCCTGTCCTCCTCATCAGAATTTCTCCTCACCCGACAGCAATACTCCCACATCTTCCGCCGATCTGTCAACTCGCTAACCGCCCACAGTCTAACCACTCGTTCACCACCACACCCCTCATCATCGAGGCTAGCTCCTCCCACATTGGCATTTCGTCCTCGCACACAATCCACCATACCACACAATAAATTTCTATTTTTCAGTTGCTTTTCCGCGGTATCCACCAACCACTGACCCGGTGCCCTATACGGCACGACATTTTGTGATTTTAACGTTGCGAAACGTGTCCTCATCGCGGCCCCTCCCGTGATTTTTTGCGCATTTGCCCAAAAATATTCCCATTCCAACGGTCTTGATAGTACGTGTGGGAAGCCAATCGAATGCGGTATTAAGAAAGGTTTTCGCCAATGTGTCGCAAGATTATACTGTGGAATATAGTAGTTCAACGGGTGCTCACTGGACAAGTCCGGGAAGAATCTCGTGGAAGGGTGTGCGTTCCGGATTTGAATGCCGCCAATCAGAGCGCATCCGTGCTCCAAGAAGCCACAATCCGGGTTGGGCGGTACGCAATAGGCCATATTTCCGATGAATACCACACAGCGATAATAACAGTGAACAGCAGTTACGGCAGTGATACCAACGATAATAATAATAATAATAGCAACAATAATAGTGAATAATACTGATCACAGATATTCCACAAATAGTGTCACCGTTCAGAAATAATACGCAGAACCGTTGACATGGCCGATTCGACGCCTGGATTTATTAAATCTCGTTCAACACTAATGAGTAGCGTTGATAATGTTGTGACGGCTAACATTCAGAGCATTACTATCACAATAATAACACAACAATCCTTCAAATGCTCTATACTGAAACTGCAATACCGAATGTTTTACCGTGCAAACAATCAAAATTCAGCACACAATGCGCGGCACCACGCTTCAACGCAAAACACACCTCAATGACCACAAAATGACCATCACTCATATGTGCCTCATGCACACTTCCAATGAAGTATTCCGTTGGCTTCTTACAACATAATACACACGGCAAATTACTCAAATATGGCCATCAAAATAATAATAATAACAATAAACACGAATAACAATAAATAATCATAGCAACACTAACGAATAGTTATATTAATAATAATAACAACTAATAATAACAATAAACAACAACAACCACAATAAATAACACTACCAAAACAACAAACCGCCCACCTGACCTCCTCGTCAACTGCAATTGATATATCCAACGTATCAATTTTTCCCTCGTTTCATTATCAATTTCTTCTTCGAGCTTTCCGAGTACATTCAATGGTAGAAGTGTGAAATACAGCAACACTGCTCTAAAAATTTTAAGTGAACGATGATTATAAATTATAATAATAATGAACAATAATAACAATAATAAATAACAATAACAATAATAAATAACAATAACAAACAATAAACAACAACAACAACAACAATAAACAGCAATACCAAATCCGATCCACCAACCTAGTCGAGTCAAGACTGCCGTAACTATGTGGGAATGCATCTAAATTACGTCTCAAAAACTTCCAATGTTGTTCAATCAGTAATATTTTAGACATTTATAAATGTTGATAGACCTGAATTATCATTACTATTATCAATTGAAATCTGAATATATGTTTTTAGCATTGAGCAGTTCTCGACGCAAAGCGTGAAAGTACATTTTCATCATCATTATTACAAATAATAATAACCCAATAACAACAATAATAATAATAATAATAATATTTCCAATAATAATGATAAACAACATCTTTTAAAAAATCAAAGGTATTACATCTATCGATACCAGCAATCAGACCAAGCTACGTCATCATCATAGATAAGACTACGAAATGGCAAATATGGAAAAGAAATACCTATTAATGGGCAATAAATTCAATAATAATAATAATAATAATAATAATAATAATAATAATAATAATAATAATAATAATAATA